ATTCGAAATAAATCTAAATTTTTTTTAAATGCACCCTAATTTTCATGGATTACCTTTAGAGGAACCTCATCAGTAGTTACAAAAATTTCATATGGTCTGTGATTTAGTTAATTTCTCTCAAGTCACACCGAAAATTATTAAGATGAAATTATTTCCTCATACACTTAGGGACAAAGTTAGTCATTGGCTATCTACATTATATAGAATTTTTTATGATAGATTATTAGAACAACATAGAAATATAGTTGATTTTATATGTGGAGGATCTTTATAGAGAAAACCCCTAATGAGATTTACAGTCTTTATGAGAATTTAAGAGAAAATTCTAGAGATCAAGCCTCTTTTGAATTATATAATAGGGATAAGAAGAGAGAAATTTATGAATTGCATTATGATGATGATTCTAAATTTAGAAATGAGGTTAATCAAATTAATCAAAGATTAGAAAAAATTGATTTACTTATTGACAATATTAGAAAGCCTCTTAACCCTCAATTTAATTCAAATAGTACATATCCTATGTATGGTGAAAATGATCATTCTGAATTTCAATATCATCCTAAGCAAGAACAAGTGTAGGTATCCCAAAATTTTAGTAAAAATAGGGAATATTTTTCTAATTCTTATAATCCTAATTGGGGGAATAATTTTTCGTGGAGAAAACCAAATAATATTCAAAATCTAGATGCACTTAGATTCAATTCAAATTTTGAATTTCGTCCAAAACAAGAACACAGATTTTAGAAAAATCACCCCTCTCAAATCTAACCTGATGCTATGGAATTGATGTAGCAAATAAGCCAAATGATACAACAAACTATGAATCAAATTATGTTGCACCAAAAACAAATTATAGAGGCTCTTGGGAATAAGAGAGAAGAGGGATAGCTGCCTAGTCAGCCCATAAAAATTTCAAAAAATTATCCAACAATAGGATTTCAGCAAGGAGAGTCTAGCTCGATAAATTTAGAAGAAAACCCACGAAATGAAAATATTAGGACAGTGAATACATTGAGTGAGAATATTTTACCTAATCTTTATTTCTAATTATTAGAAGAAATCGATGAGCCATTAGAAGTAAATGAAAATATTAAGGTCGAAAATATAGTACCAAAAAATTTCAATAAAATTCTTTATTACTCACAATTGATGAATGAATATAGTGAAGATGATGAGGACAAAGAGTCCTTAGATGAAGAAATAGCAGCTGAGCATAGAAAAATCATCCAAATTTTAGTAGAAAGGAGTAAAAACAGATATGAAGAAAAATATATTTCAGGTGAGGAAAAGTCAATTGATTTGGGAGATGTAGGAGATGAAATTAATAAATCTAATCATAATTTTACAGCCATGGATGTTGATAGTGAGGATTATGATGTATATCATATACCAAAATTAAAAGATAGCTCTTAGGAAGATGAAGAATTTGATGAGTTGAGAAATAAAAAGCTAGAAAAAGAGTTGATTCAACTAATGGGGAGAAACGAAAATAATGAATATGAATATAGAGATAATTTTAAAGGAGAAAATTTAAATTTTGTAGAATTCATTAGATCTGAGATTAAAGAAGACAATCCTTCTATCCTTCAAAACCCACAATCTATTAGAATTATTTCTAAGTTTGAAATATTTCACTCCTCAAAAATTGAACAAATATGTATGAAAGATAAAATGGAGCAGGGGAAGATTATGCAAATAAAAGAACACATTAAGAAATGAGTGACTAGAAGAATTAGAGATATCAATTTAGATGAAAAAATTCTAGATTGGGTAAGAGCTAATTTGAAAATTATATGGCCTCATCACATTTTATGGTCTATTAATAGAAAGTATTTATTAATGAATGAGAGCCTTACAAAACAAGTTAGAAATGAGGAAAGATTTTTTTCAAAATGGAAATATTATTTTTGGAAAACTTTTGTTAATTTCCATTTTGTTTTGGCTGAAAGTATGTCAAGGTCTATATATGAAGTATATAAATTTATGTAAAATCTGAAAAAGAATATCATGAAACTTATCTTGGGATACAAATATATTTTGATGGCCATAGATCATCTTATATGATCTAAGAGCTGTCCAACTGGAGACATTAAATTCAACGCTGCATGGGAGGCAACCCATGGTTTTTATTTCATTTGTTTGATTTTTTTAAGCTCTATTTTTCTTAGAATTTTGTAGTACTTATTTCTATATTTGTTTTTTTGAAAAAGTGCAAGAGGACTGTAAGATGAAGTGGAAAATTAAAAGTGAGGTTGAGGTGATTGATAAGTCTTCATTATCATGAGTTAATAATTATTAAATAATATAGTTTTAGCCTTAAATCATGATAAATAGACTTATATTTGTGTTAAAGTGTGAAAAGTAGTTTTCAGTTGATTAACGTGAATTTTAGGATAATTATGTGATTTTATACGATTTTTACAGTCTTACTTTTGAGATAAATAAAGAACAATAAATAAAAAATAAAAAAATTGCAAAATGGGGGTACTCGCAAGTGGGTCGGAAGCACAGTCAGGGAGTAGCCGCGAGCAAGGTCTCGAGTGGCTTGGCTTGGACCGATAGGGGCACGTGTGCGCCACTCCCCTTCCACGTCACTAGTGGCCAGTCAGTTGTGAGGCAAGGAGTGGTCGTACACACGAGAGAAGGGACTTTGCTTACAAAGTTTACATTACTATATATTCGCCTGAAAAATCGGCACACAACTAGTGTGGGACTAAACCCGCATCACACCTTCCTCACAGGCGGGTGACCGGTGCAGGTTCGAATCCTCCTAGAGTCAAAATATATATATTTTTATCTGATTATCGTGACTTTCCTGCAGATTGTCGGTGAAGGATTAAGTAACGAGAATCACTAGATCATCGGTGAAAATCTCATCAACGCGATTTGCAGAGCATTGCTACTAAAATTACTAAACGATTCACGATAAAAGGATCGCGAATCCATCGAGTAAATCATCTCCGATTGATCGACAAATAAGTCGTTGTCGGGAAGAGGACGATCTGCTGAGAGACGAGTCGCTACCTCTTGAGAGTATACCAGATGCGATGAAGAGCCTCCTCTTGCTATGCGGACCTGAGGATGAAGCTTCTTGACAGCCACTGGAGAGCCGTAAAGAGAGGAGCTGGATGAAGCTTCCTCAGATCCTGACAATAAGACGAGAATCTGATTAACCTCCATCCAGCTCCTCTCTGTCGGGTGATAGCCGCCAGAGAGCCAGAAAGTCACCATTTCATTAATCTCTAGACTTCACGAGAAGATCTAGAGATTGCCCACGTCGTCTTTGTCCAAGGAGAGCCTTCGAGGCCATAGACACTGCACGACGATCCTCCTGAATACTCAGGATTCCGGTACATCACCGACACATCATCGTTGCGATGTCGGAACTCTATTTTTCTACTTTCAACTTAATTTACGCTTCATTTAGTGATATTTTTTGTGATTTTAATTTACCAAACTATACTTTATTCTATTATAATTCTTCTAGCTTTTACTGATCTTAATTTGATCAATTAAATCATTTGTAATCACTTCGTAAGAATCATCGGGCGGAACTCTATTTCTGCCTGATTTGCGTTCATCATGCACTGATGTCATCCTAATGTTTGTGCCCTTACTTCTCTTTTTCGTGAATTTTAAATATATTTCCTTTTTATTTCCTAGTGTAAAATTCATAGAAAGTTGTATTCATTGAGAACAATTCTGAATAATTACCAGATATTATATTACATCCCTGTGATCGACTTGCAGAATTACTACTATTTTTGGAAGTTTTATTGAATTATAATTGATATATTTATTTAGAAATACTTCTAAATATTTGAAAATTCGTATTTTCTAGTTTTATAAATTTTATCTTTGCATGATTTAATATACAATGACTAAGTCACATCAGTGATGTCTTTCTAAGCTTTATCATTTATGAAAATATTTTTAATGGTTAACTTTACACATATGCATGCTTCACCTAAAAATTATATTTTCTGCATATTCTATTTCGATTTTCTATGCCATTGAGGTCAATGTCATTTTTAAGTTGGGGGGTGAACTATTCAATATGAATTTATGCTGTAGGATGATTAAGAACATGTGTTTGCATTAGAACATCAACTGAAAAAAAATAAAAATAAAATAAAATTCAGAAAAATTATATCATCTATTTTCTGGTTTTTTGTTAGGAACAATAGACAGTCAAAAATAGCAAACAAAAAATAGTCCCAAATTTGAAATTCTAGAGACTCTTTTCTCACATTTCAATCCCCTAGACATATATTACTGAAATTCGAAATTAAAACTGTAAAGATGATAGTTTTGATTTATTTTTGACAAATTTATTGTTGTTAAAAATAGAATTCAAAATAAAAAATAGAACTATCATGACTATCTAATTTATAAATTTCTTACATCATATTGTATGCATGAAAAATTAAATCAATTAGATTGATTGATACCAAAACATATTAGGAAGATTACTATTGAGTCAAAATAATGATCTAGTAGCATAAAATGTTGGAATACTCTTTGGATACATGATAGATAACATGGATTTGATTTTACAGATTTTCACTTCATGATCTTGATGGATAGTATTTACTTGATCTGAAAATTTGATTGATCATTTGAGTTTAATAGAAATTTTTGTACTCTGATCTATAGGACTTGTGAGGAGATATTACTTATTTCGAAAAAAAAGAAAGAGAGAAATGTAAAAAACCTAGAAATGAAGAGTATACATAGAGGGAGTGAAACATCATTCTCATTATCGAAAATCGTGTATGGAAAAACACTTGCTGCAAAATAAGTGGATAAAGTGAAAGCCCTGAAAATGAAGAGTATACATGAAGGGTGTGTGACATCATTCTTATTGTCGAAATTTGTCTACAAGAAAAGCTACTTATCCACTATACATTAAAAAAAAAAGAAGGAAGAAATATAGTGCACACTTCAAAAATCAAGCCATAGAAAAATGGAAATGTAGGATCAATATTATTCTTAGATGATTATTCATAATTGAAACATCTTGTAAATATATCTATGGGTGAAGAAGTGATAAAGATGTTAATAGAAGAAGTGAAGTCTAAATTGTTATTCCAAGATGTGCTTAAACATTTAAGTGCTTGACATCATTCTTAAATACTTGATATAAGAGTTCAAAGTATCTAAAGGTGCATCATTTCTAATTGTATTTTTTTTTATGTATTGAAATATGATGTTTGAGATTTGTAAATTTTTATTTTTGTAATTCTATTGCCAAGGGACAAGCAATGATTTAAGTTGGGGGGTGTGATAAGTTTTCATTATCATGAGTTAATAATTAGTAAATAATATAGTTTTAGCTTTAACTCATGATAAATAGACTTATATTTGTGTTAAAGTGTGAAAAGTGGTTTTTAGTTGATTAACATGAATTTTTGGGTAATTATGTGATTTTATACGAATTGATATGATTGCAAGCTGGGCCTGCAAGTGAGTCGGAAGCGCAATCGGGGAGTAGCCACGAGCAGGGGCTCGAGCGGCTTGGACCGATAGAGGGACGTGTGCACCACTCCCTTTCCACGTCACTAGTGGCCAGTCGGCTGTGGGGCAAAGAGTGGTCCTACACGCGAGAGAAGGAACTTGCTTAGAAATGTAACATTAGTATATATTCGCCCAAAAAATTGGCAGACAACCAATGTGGGACTAAACCAGCATCACACCTTCCTCAGAAAGGGGGGGGCAACCGGTGCGGGTTCGAATCCTCCTAGAGCCAAAACTCATATGTTTTTTATTTGATTATCGTGACTTTTTTGAAGAACGCCGGTGAAGGATTAAGCAATCAGAATCGTTGGATCATTGGTGAAAATTTCGTCAACACAATTTGCGGAGCATTGTTACTAAAATTGCTGAACGATTTGCAATAAAAGGATCACGAACCATCGAGTAAAGCATCTCCGATTGATCGATGAACAAGCCATCGTCGAGAAGAGGATGATCTGCTAGTAGATGAGTCACCACCTCCTGAGAGTGTACCAGATGCGATGAAAAGCCTCTTCTTATTAAGTGGACATGAGGATAAAGCTCCCTGACACATGTCCCACCTCCATCCAGCTCCTCTCTGTCGGGTGACAGTTGCCGGAGAGCCACAAAGTCGCCGTTTTTCTACTCCACCGAGTGACAGCTGCCTAAGATGATTCAATGACCTATTTCATTGATCTCTAGACTTTGCAAGGAAATCTAGAAATCGTCCACGTTGTCTTTGTCTAAGGAGAGCCTTCGAGGCTGTGGACACTACACAACAATCCTTCGCATTTGCCAGGTGCTAACGTCATCCTAATGTCTGCACCCTTATTCCCTTTTTTGTAAATTTTAAATATATTTTCTTTTCATTTACTAGTATAAAATTCATAGAAAATAGTATTCTTTAAGAAAAATTCTAAATAATTATCAACTACTATATTACATCCCTATAATTGACCCGGAAAATTACTACTATTTTTGGAAGTTTTATTAAATTATAATTGATATATTTGTTCAAAAATACTTCTAAATATCTAAAAATTTATATTTTATAGTTTTATAAATTTTACATTTATGTGATTTAATATACAACGATTAATTCACATCAATTATAAAAATAAAAATTTACAAATCTCAAATATCATATTTTAATGCATAAAGAGAAAATACAATTAGAAATTATATACCTTTAGACACTTTAGATTCTTATATTGTGTTTAAGAATGATGTCAAGCAATTAAATGTTTAAGCACTCATTAGAATAACAATCTAGACTTCACTTCTTCTATTCACATCTTTATCACTTCTTCACTCATAGATATATTTACAAGATGTTCTACTTATCAATACTCATCTAGGAGTAATTTTGATCCTACATTTCCCTTTTTCCAAAGCTTTATTTTTGATGTGTGCACTATACTTCTTCCTTCTTTTTTTATATATAGTGGATAAGTAGCTTTTCTTGTAAACAAATTTTGACAATAAGAATGATGTCTCACACCCTCCATGTGTACTCTTCATTTTCAGGGCTTTCACTTTATCTACTTATTTTGCAGCAAGTGTTTTTCTATGCATGATTTTGACAATGAGAATGATGTCTCACACCCTCCATGTATACTCTTCGTTTCTAGATTTTTCACATTGCTCTCTCTCTTTTTTTTTTTCTGAAATAAGTGTTTCTCCTCACAAGTCCTATAGATCAGAGTGCAAAAATCTCTATTAAATTGAAATGATCAATCAAATTTTCACATCAAGTAAATACTATCCATCAAGATCATAAAGTGAAAATCTATAAAATCAAATCCATGTTATGTATCATGTATCCAAGGAGTATTCCAACATTTCATGCTACTAGATCATTCTTTTGACTCAATAATAATCTTCCTAGTATCTTTTGGTATCAATCAATCTAATTGATTTAATTTTTCATACATGCAATATGATGTAAGAAATTTGTAAATTAGATAGTTATGATAGTTCTATTTTCTATTTTTAGTTTTATTTTTAGCAATAATAATTGTCAAAAATAAATCAAAACTATTCTCTTTATAGCTATAATTTTGAATTTTAGTAATATATGTCTAGGGGATTGAAATGTGTGAAAAAGGTCTCTAGAATTTCAAATTTTGGACTATTTTTGTCTACTATTTTTGATAGTCTGTTGTCCTTGACAAAAAACCTAAAAATAGATGTTGTAGTTTTTTTGAATTTTATTTTATTTTATTTTATTTTAGTTGCGGTTCTAAGTTAAATAAAATGCAAACACTTGTTCTTAATCATCCTACAGCATAAATTAATAATTAATACTTCACCCCTCAACTTAAAAATGACATTGTCCTCAATGACACAGACAAATCAAAACAGAATATGCAGAAAAAATAATTTTCAAGTGAAGTATGCATATGTGCAAAGTTAAGCATTAAGAATATTTTCATAAATCACCTCAAACTTGTTTTTAATTTTCCACTTCATCTTACACTCCTCTTGCATTTTTTCGAAAAAACAAATACAAAAACAAGTACTGCAAAATTCTAAGAAAAACAAAGTTTTAAAAAAATCAAACAGAATGAAATAAAAACCATGGTTGCCTCCCACGCAGTGCTGAATTTAATGTCTTCAGGTAGAAAACTCTTAGATCATATAAGATGATCTATGACCATCAAAATATATTTGTATCCTAAGATAAGTTTCATGATATTCTTTTTCAGATTTTGCATAAATTCATATACTTCATATATATACCTTGACATACTTTCAGCCAAAATAAAATGGAAATTAACAAAATTTTTCAGAAAATAATATTTTCATTTTGAAAAAAATCTTTCCTCATTTCTATCTTGTTTTGTAAGGCTCTCATTCATTAATAAATACTTTCTATTAATAGACCATAAAATGTGATGAGGCCATATAATTTTCAAATTAGCTCTTACTCAATCTAGAATTTTTTTATCTAAATTGATATCTCTAATTCTTCCACTCACCTATTTTTTACTGTGTTTTTTTATTTGCATAATCTTCCCGTATTCTAATTTATCTTCCATACATATTTGTTCAATTTGGATCTAGTGGCAACTCTCCCACTAAGGGGGGTTAAAGTATTTCAAGCTTAGAAATAATTCTAATGGACTGTAGGGTTTGAAGGATGGAAAGATTGTCTTCTTTAATCTCAGATCTAATGAATTCAGCAAAATTCAAATTTTCTCCTCCAAAATTATCTTTATATTCATATTCATTATTTTTGTTTCTCCCCATTAGTTGAATCAACTCTTTTCCTAGATTTTTTTTTCTCAACTCATCAAGTTCTTCATCTTCTCAAGAGTTATCTTTTAATTTTGGTATATGATATACATCATCATCCTCACTATCAACATCCATGGCTGCAAAATTATGATTAGATTTATTAATTTTGTCTCATACATCTCCTAAATCAACTATATTTTTCTCACCTAAAATATATTTTTCTTCATTTCTGTCTTTACTCACTTCTACTAAAATTTGGATGATTGTTTCATGATCAGCTGCTATTTTTTCATCTAAGGGCTCTTTCTCCTCATCATCCTCACTATATTCATTCATCAATTGTGAGCAATAAATGATTTTATTCAAATTTTCTAGTATTATATTTTCAACCTTAATATTCTCATTTACTTCTAGAGGCTCATCGATTTCTTCTAATAATTAGAAATAAGGATCAGGTAAAATATTCTCACTCAATGTATTCACTGTCCTAACATTTTCAATTTGTGGGTTTTTTTCTAAATTTATCTAGCTAGACTCTCCTTACTGAAATCTTATTGTTGGACAGTTTCCTAAATTTTCTATAGGCTAACTAGGTGACTGCCCCTCTTCTCTCTTATTCTCAAGAGCCTCTATAATTTGTTTTTGGTGCAACATCATTTGATTCATAATTAAAGTTGCATCATTTGGCTCATTTGTTGCATCAATTCCATAACATCATGTTGGATTTAAGAGGAGATATTTTTCTGAAATCTATGTTCCTATTTTAGACGAATATCAGAATTTGAATTGAATCTATGTGTGTCTGGATTTTGAATATTATTTGGGTTTCTCCACGAAAAATTATTCCCCCAATTAGGATTATAAGAATTAGAAAATATTCCCTATTTTTACTAAAATCATGGGGTACTTACACTTGTTCTTGCCTATGATGATATTGAAATTCGAAATGATCATTTTCACCATACATAGGACATGTACTATTTGAATTAAATGGAGGGTTAAGAGGCTTTCTAATATTTTTAATAAGTAAATAAAGTTTTTCTAATCTTTGATTAATTTGATTAACCTCATTTCTAAATTTAGAATCATCATCATGATGTAATTCATAAATTCCTCTCTTCTTATCCCTATCATATAATTCAAAAGAGGTTTGATCTCTAGAATTTTTACTTAAATTTTCATAAAGACTATAAATCTCATGAAGGGTTTTTTTCATAAAAGCTCCTCAATATATAGAATCAAACATATTTCAATGTTGTTCTAATAATCCATCATAAAAGATTCTATTTAGCTGTAACTTGGGTATAGCATGATGATGACACTTTCTCAGTAAATCTTTGAATGTTTCTCATGTCTCATGTAAAGTTTCTCTTGGTCTTTGAGAAAAACTCCATATATATTTTCTCATATTTTTGAGTTTTACCTAAGGGATAAATTTTTGAAGAAAGGCTTATTCTATGTCTTTCCAGCTAGGTAATTCTCTATCTAATGTAGACAGCCAATGACTAGCTTTGTCCCTTAGTGTATGAGAAAATAATTTCCTCTTAATAATTTTTGATGTGACTTGAGGAAGATTAACTAACTCACAGATCATATGAAATTTTTTTAAGTGCTGATGAGGTTCCTCTAAAGGCAATCCATGAAAATTATGGAGCATTTGAAAAATTCCTAGATTTATATCAAATTTAATAGTAGGTGCTAATGGGACTCTAATATTGGATGCTCTTTGAAATGAATCAAGAATATAATAATTTTACATGGCCATAGGATTGTTCTCAGTTTGACTTGTACTTCTTTAGGATCCATCAAAATTAATTTTTCTTTCGGATTTTTAATTTGGAATGAAATAACAAAGGAATTTTCTAGCCTTGGATATAAGGATCTTCTACCATGCATATAAAAAATTAATAAATTTGGTAATTGTTACCCTCCTTCAATATGTTGTAGTCCTTGTCTTGCTTCTCTTCATTCCTTTTTAAAAAAAGAAAAACTTGGCAAAAAGAAAATAAAATAAGAGTTAAATTTTTTTGTGTACTCTAAGAGAAAAATAGAAATATAGTAAATATTATACAATACATCCCCAGCAACGGCACCAAAGTTTGATGTGACTTAGTTGTTGTATATTAAATCACTCAAAACTAAAATTTATAAAACTAGAAAATATGAATTTTTAGATATTTAGAAGTATTTTTGAACAAATATATCAATTATAATTTAATAAAACTTCCAAAAATAGTAGTAATTTTCTAGGTTAATCATAGGGATGTAATATAGTAGCTAGTAATTATTCAGAATTTGTCTCAAAGAATATTATTTTCTATGAATTTTATACTAGTAAATAAAAAAGAAATATATTTAAAAAAGAACTTCGTCAATGCCCGGCGAATGCGAATCAAACAAAAATAGAGTTCCGCCCAATTATTCTTACATAAGTGATTACAAATGATTTAATTAATCAAATTAAGATCTGTAAAAGCCGGAAGAATTGTAAGTGAATGAAGTATATTTTGATAAATTAAAATTACACAAATTATCACTAAATAAAGCCTAAAGTAAGTTGAAAGCAAGAAAATAGAGTTCTAGCATCACAGCAACAATGCGTTGGCGATGCACCAGAATCTTGAGCGTTCGAGAGGATCGTCATGTAGTGTCCATAGCCTCGAAGGCTCTACTTTGACAAAGATGATGTGGGCAATTTCTAGATCTTCTTGCGAAGTCTACAGATCAATGAAATGGGTCCTCAATTGTCTTTGGCAGCTATCACCCTGCGAAGCAGAAAAATGACGACTTTGCGGCTCTCCAACGGCTGTCACCTGATGGAGAGGAGCTAGATAGAGGTGGGACGCATGTCAGGGAGCTTCATCCTCATGTCCACACAATAAGAAGAGACTCTTCATCGCCGCCACAGCACTGGAACTCTATTGTCCTACTTTCAACTTAATTTTTGTATTATTTAGTGATAATTTGTTGATTTTAAATTTATCAAGATATACTTCATTTCATTACGATTCTTTTGGCTTTTACAAATCTTAATTTGATCAATTAAATCATCTATAATCACTTACATGAGCATCATTAGGCAGAACTTCATTTTCACCTAATTCGCCTTCGCCGAGCACTGATGTCATCTTGACGTTTGCACCCTTATTTCTCTTTTTTATGAATTTTAAATATATTTTCTTTTCATTTCCTAGTATAAAATTTATAGAAAACAGTATTCTTTGAGCAAAATTTTGAATAATTACCAGATAATATATTACATCCTTGTGATTGACTTGGAAAATTATCGCTATTTTTGAAAGTTTTATTAAATTATAATTGATATATTTGTTCAGAAATACTTCTAAATATCTAAATTTTTTTATTTTCTAGTTTTATAAATTTTAAATTTGTGTGATTTACTATACAACGACTAAGTCATGTCAATGTATTACATAATATGTGGTTTTTTTCTATTTTTTCTTAAAGTACACAAAAACATTAAGTCTTGTTTTATTATCTTTTTTTAGAATTTTTTTGTTTTAAAAGAATGAAGAGCAGCAGGGCAAAGACTAGAACATACTGAAGGAGGGTAACAATTATTAAATTTTTTTCTATAATTTATTGATATTTATGTATGGTAGAAAATCCTTGCATCTAAGGTTAGAAAATCATTTCACTATTTCGTTCAAAACTAAAAATCTAAAAGAAAAATTAATTTTGATAGATCCTAAAAGATGTACAAGTCAAACTAATAGTAATCCCATGGCCATAAAAAATTATAACATCCCTGATTGATATCAATGGGCGTCCAATATTAAAGTCTCATTAGCAACCATTGTTAAATTCAAAATAAATTCAAAAAGTTTCCAAATGCTCTCTAATTTTCATGGATTACCTTTAGAAAAACCCCATCAACATTTTAAAAAAAATTACATAGTCTGTGATTTAGTTAATCTCTTTAAAGTTACACCGAAAATTATTAAGATAAAATTATTTCCTCATAGCTTAAAATACAATACTAGTTATTGGTTATCCACATTAGATAGAGAATTAACTAGTTAGAAAGACAAAACAAACCTTTTCTTTGAAAATTTTCTCCCTTAGATAAAACTCAAAATATGAGAAAACATAAATGAAGTTTTGTTTGAAAGTCAAAAAAAAGTTTACATCTAATATGAAAAAAAATTAAAAATTTACTCATAAACTATCCTCATCATGCTATACCAAAGTGGCAGATTAATAGAATTTTTTATGATAAATTATTAGAACAACATAGAAATATGGTTGACTCTATATGTGGAAGAGCTTTTATGGAGAAAACCCTTGATGAGATTTACAGAATTTATGAGAATTTAAGTACAAATTCTAGAAATCAAGCCTTTTTTGAGTTATATGATAGGGATAAGAAAAGAAGAATTTATGAATTACATTATGATGATGATACTAATTTAAGAAATGAGGTTAATCAGATTTATTATAGATTAGAAAAACTTGATTTACTTATTGACAATATTAAAAAGCCTCATAACCTTCAATTTAATGCATATATTACATGTCCTATGTATAATGAAAATGACCATTTCGAATTTTAATGTTATAATTTTGATCACTCATTTCAGCCTAGGTAAGAGCAAGTGCAAGTACCCCATGATTTTGATCACTCATTAAACTAGAGAATATTTTTCTAATTCTTATGAAATATTAGAATACTCCTTGGATACATGATAGATAAGATGGATTTGAGTTTACAGATTTTCACTTCATGATCTTGATGGATAGTATTTACTTGATGTAAAAATTTTATTGATCATTTGAGTTTAATAGAGATTTTTGCACCCTGATCTATAGGACTTGTGAGGAGAAATCACTTATTTCGAAAAAAAAAAAAGGAAGCAATGTGAAAAATCTAAAAACGAAGAGTACACATGGAGGGTGTGAGACATCATTTTCATTATCGAAAATCGTGTATAGAAAAACACTTGCTGCAAAATAAGTGGATAAAGTGAAAGCCCTGAAAATGAAGAGTACACATGGAGGGTGTGAGACATCATTCTTTTTGTCGAAATTTGTCTATAGGAAAAGCTACTTATCCACTATATATATTAAAAAAAAAAGGAAGAAATATAGTACACACTTCAAAAATCAAGTCATAGAAAAAGGAAAATGTAGGATCAATATTATTCTTAGATGATTATTCATAATTAGAATGAACATCTTGTAAATATATCTATGAGTGAAGAAGTGATAAAAATGTAAATAGAAGAAGTGAAGTCTAGATTATTATTCCAAGGAGTGCTTAAACATTTAAGTGCTTGACATCATTCTTAAATACTTGATATAAGAGTTCAAAGTGTCTAAAGGTTCATCATTTCTAATTGTATTTTTTTTTATGTATTGAAATATGATGTTCGAGATTTATAAATTTTTATTTTCGTAATGTCATTGCCAAGGGACTAGTAATGATTTAAGTTGAGGGGTATGATAAGTCTTCATTATCATGATTTAATAATTAGTAAATAATATAGTTTTAGCTTTAACTTATGATAAATAGACTTATATTTATGTTAAAGTGTGAAAAGTGGTTTTTAGTTGATTAACATAAATTTTTGGGTAATTATGTGATTTTATTGGAATTTATATGATTTTTACAGTCTTACTTTTGAGATAAATAAAGAAATAAAAATAAAAATATTGTAAAATGGAGGGACCCGCTGACTAGTTGGGCCCGCAAGTATGTTAGAGCGCAGTCGGGGGGTAGCCGCATGCAGGAGCTGGAGTGGCTTGGACCGATAGAGGCATGTGTGTGCCACTCCCTTTTCACATCACTGGTGGCTAGCTGGCTATGGAGTAAGTGGTCGTACATACAAGAGAAGGGACTTGCTTAGAAATGTAACATTAGTATATATTTGCCCAAAAAATTAGCACACAACTGATGTGGGACTAAACTCGGGTCACACCTTCCTCATAAAGGGTAAGGCAACTGGCATGGGTTCAAATTCTCTTAGAGCCAAAACTCATTTTTTTTTATCTGATTATCATGACTTTACTAAAAATTGTTGGTGAAGGATTAAGCAATCAAAATCGCTAGATCATTGGTGAAAATCTCGTCAACATGATTTGTTGAGTATTCTTACTAAAATTGCTAAACGATTCGCAATAAAAGGATCGTGAATCCATCGAGTAAAGTATCTTCGATTGATAGATGAACAAGCCGTCATCAGAAAGAGGATGATCTATCGGGAGATGAGTCACCATCTCCTTAGAGTGTACCAGATGTGATGAAGAGCCTCCTCTTGCTATGCAGACCTGAGGATGAAGCTCCCTAACACGCGCCCCACCTCCATCCAACTCCTCTCCATCAGATGACAACTGCTAGAGAGCTGCAAAGTCACCGTTTTTCTACTCCACCAGGTGACAACCATCGGAGACGATTCAACAACCCATTTCATTGATCTCTAGACTTCACAAGAAGATCTAGAAATTGCCCACATCATCTTTGTCCAAAGAGAGCCTTTGAGGCTGTGAACACTCCATAACAATCCTCTCAAATACTTAAGATTCCGGTGCATTGCTGACGCATTGCCGTTGTGACGCCAGAACTCTGTTTTCCTACTTTCAACTTACTTTACGCTTCATTTAGCGATAATTTGTGTGATTTTAATTTACCAAAATATACTTCATTCACTTACAATTCTTTCGGCTTTTATAGATCTTAATTTGATATTAAATCATCTATAATCGCTTATGTAAGAATCACCGGGCATAACTATGTTTTTGCCCACTTTGCATTTGCCAGGTGCTGACATCATTTTAACATCTGCACCCTTATTTCCTTTTTTTGTGAATTTTAAATATATTTTATTTTCATTTACTAGTATAAAATTCATAGAAAATAGTATTTTTTGAGGAAAATTCTGAATAATTACCAGCTACTATATTACACCCCTATGATTGACCTAGAAAATTATTGCTATTTTTAGAACTTTTTATTAAATTATAATTGATATATTTTTTTAAAAATACTTCTAAATATCTAAAAATTTATATTTTATAGTTTTATAAATTTTAGATTTATATGATTTAATATACAATAATTAAGTCACGTCAATTAAAAAAATTAAAATTTACGAATCTCAAACATCATATTTTAATGCATAAAGAGAAAATACAATTAGAAATGATACACCTTTAGACACTTTGGATTCTTATATCAAGTATTTAAGAATGATGTCAAGCAATTAAATGTTTAAACACTCATTGGAATAACAATCTAGACTTCATGTCTTCTATTCCCATCTTTATCACTTCTCCACTCATAAATATATTTACAAGATGTTCCACTTATCAATACTCATCTAGGAGTAATATTGATCCTATATTTCTCTTTTTTCATGGCTTGATTTTTGAAGTGTGCACTATATTTCTTCCTTCTCTTTTTTTTATATAGTGGATAAGTAGCTTTTCTCGTAAACAAATTTTGACAATAAGAATGATGTCTCACACCCTCCATGTGTATTCTTCATTTTCAGGGCTTTCACTTTATCTACTTATTTTGCAGCAAGTGTTTTTCTATGCACGATTTTGACAATAAGAATGATGTCTTACACCTTCTATGTGTACTCTTTGTTTCAAGATTTTTCACATTGCTCTCTCTCTTCTTTTTTTTTTCCAGAATAAGTGTTTCTCCTCACAAGTCCTATAGATCATGGTGCAAAAATCTCTATTAAAATCAAATGATCAATCAAATTTTCACATCAAGTAAATACTATCCGTCATGATCATAAAGTGAAAATCTATAAAATCAAATCCATGTTATGTATCATGTATTCAAGGAATATTCCAACATTTTGTGCTACTAGATCATTCTTTTGACTCAATAGTAATCTTCCTAGTATCTTTTGGTATCAATCAATCTAATTGATTTGATTTTTCGTGCATGTAATATGATGTAAGAAATTTGTAAATTAGATAGTTATGTTTTCTATTTTCAGTTTTCTTTTTAGCAACAATAATTATCAAAAATAAATCAAAACTATCCTCTTTATAGCCATAATTTCGAATTTTAGTAATATATGTCTAGGGGATTGAAATGTGTGAAAAGGGTCTCTAGAATTTCAAATTTCGAGCTATTTTTGTCTATTTTTTTTGAAAATTTATTGTTCCTGACAGCAAACCTGAAAATAGATGTTGTAGTTTTTCTGAATTTTATTTTATTTTATTTTAGTTGTGGTTCTAAGTTGAATAAAATACAAACACATGTTCTTAATCGTCCTACAACATAAATTAATATTAAATACTTCACCCCCCAACATAAAAATGACATTGTCCTCAATGACACAAAAAAATCGAAACATAATATGCAGAAAATATAATTTTCAAGTGAAGTATGCATATGTGCAAAGTTAAGTATTAAAAATATTTTCATAAATGATAAAGCTCAGGAAGACATCACCTCAAACTTGTTTTTAATTTTCCACTTCATCTTACACTCCTCCTCTTGCATTTTTTTGAAAAAACAAATATAGAAACAAGTACTACGAAATTCTAAGAAAAATAGAGCTTAAAAAAAATCAAACAGAATGAAATAAAAACCATGGGTTGCCTCCCATGCTACGCTGAATTTAATGTCTATAGGTAGACAGCTTTTAGATCATATAAGATGATCTATGGCCATCAAAATATATTTGTATCCTAAGGTAAGTTTTATGATATTCTTTTTTAGATTTCACATAAATTCATATACTTCATATATATACCTTGACATACTTTCAGCCAAAACAAAATAGAAATTAACAAAATTTTCCCAAAATTAATATTTCTATTTTGAAAAGAATCTTTCCTCATTTCTATCTTGTTTTGTAAGGCTCTCATTCATTAATAAATACTTTCTATTAATAGACCATAAAGTGTGATCAGGCCATATAATTTTCAAATTAGCTCTTACCCAATCTAGAATTTTTTCATCTAAATTGATATCTCTAATTCTTCCACGCACCCATTTCTTAATTTGTTCTTTTATCTGCATAATCTTCCCCTGCTCTATTTTATCTTCCATACATATTTGTTCAATTTGTAAAGAGTGAAATATTTCAAGGTTAGAAATAATTCTAATAGACTGTGGGTTTTGAAGGATAGAAGGATTGTCTTCTTTAATCTCAGATCTAATGAATTTAGTAAAATTCAAATTTTCTCCTCCAAAATTATCTCTTTATTCATATTGATTATTTTCATTTCTCCTCATTAGTTGAATCAACTCTTTTTCTAGCTTTTCGTTTCTCAACTCATCAAAATCTTCATCTTCTGAAGAGCTATCTTTTAATTTTGGTATATGATATGCATCATCATCCTCACTATCAATATCTATGGCTGCAAAATTATGATTATATTTATTAATTTTGTCTCCTACATCTCCCAAATCCACTGATTTTTTCTCACCTGAAATATAGTTTTCTTTATTTTTGTCCTTACTCCCTTCTACTAAAATTTGGATGATTTTTCTATGATCAGCTGCTATTTCTTCATCTAAGGGCTCTTTCTCCTCATCATCCTCACTATATTCATTCGTCAATTGTGAGCAATAAAAAATTTTATTCAATTTTTTTAGTATTCTATTTTTGGCCTTAATATTCTCATTTACTTCTAATAGCTCATCGATTTCTTCTAATAATTGGAAATAAGGATCAGGTAAAATATTCTCACTCAATGTATTCATTATCCTAACATTTTCATTTCATGGGTTTTTTTCTAAATTTATCTAACTAAACTCTTCTTGCTGAAATTGTACTATTGGACAGTTTCTTGAGTTTTCTATTGGTTGACTAGGTGGCTGTCCATCTTCTCTCCTATTCCGAAGAGCCTCTATAATTTGTTTTTGGTGCAACATCATTTGATTCATAGTTTGTTGCACCATTTGGCTCATTTGCTGTATCATTTCTATAGCATCAGGTTGGATTTGAGAGGAGTGATTTTTCTAAAATCTATATTCCTATTTTTGACGAAATTCAAAATTTGAATTGAATCTAAGTGCATCTAGATTTTGAATATTATTTAGATACCTTCACGAAAAATTATTCCGTCAATTAGAATTATAAGAATTAGAAAAATATTCCCTATTTTTACTAAAATTGTGGGGTACTTGCACTTATTTTTACTTATGATGATATTGAAATTCGAAATGATCATTTTCACCATACATAGGACATGTACTATTTGAATTAAATTGAGGGTTAAGAGGCTTTCTAATATTTTCAATCAGTAAATAAAGTTTTTCTAATCTTTGATTAATCTGATTAACCTCATTTCTAAATTTAGAATCATCATCATGATGCAATTCATGAATTCCTCTCTTCTTATCCCTATCATATAATTCAAAAGAGGCTTGATCTCTAGAATTTTCACTTAAATTTTCATAAGACTATAAATCTCATCAAGGGTTTTTTCCATAAAAGCTCCTCCACATATAGAATCAATCATATTTTTATGTTGTTCTAATAATCCATCATAAGAGATTCTATTTAGCTGCCACTTGAGTATAGCATGATGAGGACACTTTCTAAGTAAATCTTTGAATGTTTTCCATATCTCATGTAAAGTTTCTCCTAGTCTTTGAGAAAAACTCCATATATGTTTTCTCATATTTTGACTTTTACCTAAGGGATAAATTTTTTGAAGAAAGACCTATTCTATGTCTTTCTAGTCAGTTAATTCTCTATCTAATGTGGATAACCAATGATTAACTTTGTCCCTTAGTGTATGAGAAAATAATTTCATCTTAATAATTTTCAATGTGACTTGAGAAAGATTAACTAAATCACAAATCATATGAAATTTTTCTAAGTGTTGATGAGGTTCCTCTAAAGGTAATCCATGAAAATTAGGGAGCATTTGAAAAATTCCTAGATTTATTTCAAATTTAAAAGTGAGTGCTAGTGGGACTCTAATATTGGATACTCTTTGAAATGAATTAGGGATATAATAACTTTTCATGGCCATAGGATTGTTCTTAGTTTGACTTCTACTTCCTTCAAAATCCATCAAAATTAATTTTTCTTTCAGATTTTTAGTTTTGAATGAAATAAGGAAAGGATTTTCTAGCCTTGGATACAAGGATTTTCTACTATGCATACAAAAAATCAATAAATTTGAGAAAAAAGTTTAAAAATTGTTATCCTCCTTCAATATACTTTAGTCTTTGTCTTGCTTCTCTTCGTTCCCTTTTTTTAAAAAAATAAAAATCGGCAAAAAGAAAATAAAATAAGAGTTAATTTTTTTTGTGTCCTATAAGAGAAAAACAGAAATATAGTAAATATTATACAATACATCCCCAACAACAGCACCAAAATTTGACGTGGCTTAGTCGTTGTATATTAAATCACACAAATCTAAAATTTATAAAACTAAAAAATACAATTTTTTAGATATTTAGAAGTATTTCTGAACAAATATATCA